CAGGCGCATATAACAGGAAGGGCACTGCAATGGATCAGAGAATACCTGACAGGGAGGCAACAACGAGTCATGGTACGTAATGATGTATCACAGTGGGCACCTGTGACGAGCGGGGTCCCACAGGGGTCGGTCCTAGGACCAGTGCTATTTTGGTATATGTGAACGACATGACGGAAGGGTTAGACTCAGAAGTGTCCCTGTTTGCAGATGATGTGAAGTTAATGAGGAGAATTAAATCTGATGAGGACCAGGCAGGACTTCAAAGAGACCTGGACAGACTGGACACCTGGTCCAGCAAATGGCTTCTCGAATTTAATCCTGCCAAATGCAAAGTCATGAAGATAGGGGAAGGGCACAGAAGACCACAGACAGAGTATAGGCTAGGTGGCCAAAGACTGCAAACCTCACTCAAGGAGAAAGATCTTGGGGTGAGTATAACACCGAGCATGTCTCCGGAAGCACACATCAATCAGATAACTGCTGCAGCATATGGGCGCCTGGCAAACCTGAGAACAGCATTCCGACACCTTAGTAAGGAATCATTCAAGACACTGTACACCGTGTATGTCAGGCCCATACTGGAGTATGCAGCACCTGTTTGGAACCCGCACTTGATAAAGCACGTCAAGAAACTAGAGAAAGTACAAAGGTTTGCAACAAGGTTAGTTCCAGAGCTAAGGGGAATGTCCTATGAAGAAAGATTAAGGAAATCGGCCTGACGACACTGGAGGACAGGAGGGTCGGGGGAGACATGATAACGACATATAAAATACTGCGTGGAATAGACAAGGTGGACAAGGACAGGATGTTCCAGGGAGGGGACACAGAAACAAGAGGCCACAATTGGAAGTTGAAGACACAAATGAGTCAGAGAGATAGTAGGAAGTATTTCTTCAGTCATAGAGTTGTAAGGCAGTGGAATAGCCTAGAAAATGACGTAGTGGAGGCAGGAACCATACACAGTTTTAAGACGAGGTTTGATAAAGCTCATGGAGCGGGGAGAGAGAGGGTCTAGTAGCAACCGGTGAAGAGGCGGGGCCAGGAGCTAGGACTCGACCCCTGCAACCACAAATAGGTGAGTACAAATAGGTGAGTACACACCCCACCTACCTACACTCACACCCCACTCACTCACCCACCCTCACCCACCCATCCATCCATCCACACCCCAGGCACCATCGCACCCACTGTCCTACCCATCCATACCCACAGCTCACACTCACCCACACTTACACCCTACACACCCACACCCCACAATACCCACACACACACACGCTCTCCCTGCTGCGTAAACTTTATCATACCTCTTCTTAATTTGAATTACCTATGCACATTTTTCTTTCTTATTGGTTCAGTATCATTTTAATGTATTTAGAGGTTCGACTAATTTTGCAATTTACTGTTTTATCAGAAAAGATTTATTGTTATTTATTACTGAAATTGTGGATCAGTGTGCCTCCTACAGCGAGTATGGCAGCACCTCACTGAGTGAGGCAGCACCTCACTGAGTGAGGCAGCACCTCACTGAGTGAGGCAGCACCTCACTGAGTGAGGCAGCACCTCACTGAGTGAGGCAGCACCTCACTGAGTGAGGCAGCACCTCACTGAGTGAGGCAGCACCTCACTGAGTGAGGCAGCACCTCACTGAGTGAGGCAGCACCTCACTGAGTGAGGCAGCACCTCACTGAGTGAGGCAGCACCTCACTGAGTGAGGCAGCACCTCACTGAGTTATTACCTTCTCTGAGTTGTCAGTACAGTGTTCAACGTATAAAAATGCTTATTTTTTGCCTCTTTTTTTTCCTATTCCTCTGAAGATTTAAGATAAAGATTAAGATTAAGATGTTTATTTTGACAAATTACATGGTTGTAAAGAGGAATATAATAGTTGGGTGTACATGCCAAAAGCCCCTTTGTGTGCAGAGCATTTCGGGCAAACTTAAAATTTAACTTAAGAAAAGTAAGGCAATAATACATAGTTCATAAGGTCATTAGATGAGTTACAGTGAGTACAGGAGAACTGAATATTCTATCAGGTAATGCTACATGGTTTTGATAAGTCTAGTACAGACTTATTACACTATTGAATTAGTTAATGAAGATTACTGTATTACAATGTAACAGTTTAAAACAATTTACAGTATGATGCAGTATTAGAGATTAGTACTATTTAAAACAATGAAATCTGGTATTACAATGGAACTATTTAAATTATTATGAACTGTATTACTGTACATATGTGTCAGCACATGAAATCACTCAGGTTTTTCCTATTTTCACTATTCTATCTTTATATATTATGTATATCGACAAGTAAGAAAGACATGCAACAACAAGGACGTATATTAAGATGCTTGGCAACCAGCGGCTTTATCTATCTAATACGAAGAAAACGCTGTGTATATATAATTGGTCAGGTCAGGTGGTGCATGAGCTGGAGGGTAGGTCAAGGTGATGGTTGTTTTCTACAAGGGGACGGGGAAATTGTTTGCCAAGTATTTCCGATATCCTAAAACTGACTTGAGCGATTTTAGACATCACCCGCAACATTAGTGAGTTTTTTTTATGACAAGTCTGGCATTTCGAGTCTCTAAGAGAGTTATGGTTGTTATGGTTCATGGTGCAGGTGTTCAAGTCCTCTCCTCGCCACGGCTCTGTTGCTAAATCATTATTATCCTATATCTTTTCCTAATCCAATTGTAAAGTGTTGTGTAGTTTTGAGACTCTCTGATCGCGGGTTCTATCCCCGTCCGTGGTATGGTTTGTGTAGTTATATTACAAACTACTGCAGTCATCGGCAGGTTGGCCGTAATGTATGATGGAATCTACTTCGTGTTGTGTCAGCAAATACTCAGACTTTAATCATTCACTAACACGTACATACATACTAAATTAGAATATAGGAACATAAAATGAAGGCTCACTCTACGAAGCCCATCGGCCCCTGTTAGGTAGGCCTCCCCAAATTTAACCACTCTCACTCTTCGTAAGTGTTACAGCACAAGAACTTGGAGAGACCTAATGAAAAGGTTTGATGATACCGTTGATAATATATGAGGTAAGTGTATTTTGTCAGGAATGTACGCGAATACTGATGAAATCTTTGAAAATATATGTTTTATAATATGCTTATGAGTTAGGTGTGTGTGTGTGTGTGTGTGTGTGTGTGTGTGTGTGTATTTAATAAGGCTTAACGAGAGAGCACGAGTGCGTCTTATGCTGCAAAAATTAGTGAGCCCCTGAGTGTTCCTTGATCGCTTCTAACTAAGCATTGAAGTCTATTGATGGATGGATATCAACTAAATGTGTTAACAATGGGTGACAAAAAAAAATCGCTCTGATCATTGCCGAGTGAACATTTGAAATCTGATTCATTAGTGATTAATAGCTGAGAAACATTCTTGTAATAATCCTGTAAGTTGTTAGCTGCGGCTTGACCTTAAAATCTAACCCAACATAGTAAGCCCCTTAAAGTTTATCATATCCAAGCAGCTCACATTTTAAACTTAACAGAAGTCATGATACAACTTGAGGAGTCTAATAAACTGAGTTCTTCCTTAAGAAAGTGAGGATGTTTATGTTTGTAGACGAAAAAGGAGTCTGTGACTATACCCAGAAGAGGTGAGAAGATAATCATTCGAAGAAGATATCCTATTTTAAAGATTATGTCCCGTTTCCTGACAGATCTTATCTAACCTAACCTATGAACAATTTGCCAGACGAAAGGAGATTTAGAGGTGTAGTTGACTGAACCAGTAATTCCCATATCCGATAAAAGCTTAAAAAACTTGTGTGGCGCAAACTAATTCTCATTTCCTGGGGTAGAAAGGGACAGTCAGGAGACAGAGTTCTGGTCACTCGGGGAAGGTCAGATGTGTTTGATTTATTACGCAATACAAATTTATAATAATTAAAAATTTATCCGTTTATGATTTTTTTTTTTTTTGCGAAAGAATATTTTACTTATCTACGTCTTTGTGAGGAGTAATGTATAACATATTTTCTGTCTCACACACGCTCATGCATGCCTGCTGGAAGTTCAAGCCCCTCGCGCCCAAAACCCTCCTTTATCCCCTCTTTCCACCCTTTCCTAGGCCGACCCCTACCCCGCCTTCCCTCCACTACAGATTTATACGCGCTCGAAGTCATTCTACTTTGTTAAAGACTCTCTACCTGTCCGAACAAATTTATATATGGTAGCATAAGACCAGAAATACATTCGAAAGACTGAGCGAGTCGAACTCAGTCTCTCGGATGTTTTATATCTATCATCACCTGGATGAGGTGATGATAACGGGTTTACTGCTGCCTGCCTGGATAAGGTGATAACAGGTTTACTGCTGCCTTCCTGGATAAGGTGATGATAACGGGTTTACTGCTGCCTGCCTAAATGAGGTGATGATAACGGGTTTACTGCTGCCTGCCTGGATAAGGTGATGATAACGGGTTTACTGCTGCCTGCCTGGATAAGGTGATGATAACGGGTTTACTGCTGCCTGCCTGGATAAGGTGATGATACCGGGTTTACTGCTGCCTGCCTGGATGAGATGATGATAGCGGGCAAAACATTTCCGAAAAAGTTGATGTGACGGAGTTATCCGCCACTACTGTGTTATTATGTGAACATTATGTGCACAGAGTAATGTTTTGATGGGACTCTGCTTATGTTATTGTGGTGAACACTGGGAAAGTCTCTCTGCTGACCGTCATCACTGACGAGCAGACTGAACGTCATGAAATTTATCTATGAGTACGATCTACATATTACTGAAGAGACAAAATGACTAAAAATTTCCATATAAATACACAGTAAGCTTTGAAATTCCTGGAAAAGAAATTCCACAGACTCAAAATATAAACTGGAAATTTCACGTCCTAAATGATAAAAATTTAGATAGGACCGAAACGACAGCCAGTGTTCATTTCCATTATATGGGACATCTGTAAATGGTTTCAGGCACAACAGTGGGTATTTTTTTTTTTAAATTACATAGATTCTTACTGAGAGAGATATAAACAGCAGATGCTTGCTCATGATGGACACTATGGGAGGAAATCCAGTAGAGCTGTGTTGAGTCCAGCTGTGTTGTGGCTGGTGCAGCTGTGTTGTGGCTGGTGCAGCTGTGTTGTGGCTGGTGCAGCTGTGTTATAGCTGGTGCAGCTGTGTTGTGGCTGGTGCAGCTGTGTTGTGGCTGGTGCAGCTGTGTTGTGGCTGGTGCGGGCTGTGTTGGGGCTGGTGCAGCTGTGTTGTAGCTGGTGCAGCTGTGTTGTGGCTGGTGCAGCTGTGTTGTGGCTGGTGCAGCTGTGTTGTGGCTGGTGCAGCTGTGTTGTGGCTGGTGCAGCTGTGTTGTGGCTGGTGCAGCTGTGTTGTGGCTGGTGCAGCTGTGTGTTGTAGCTTTATGGGTCCTGGTTCCATGGAGTCATCTTATATACCACAACATTTATCACTGTGTGAGCTTACAGCTGTGACAATGATCGGGACGCGCTGTGTGGTTATGAAATTTACAAACATGAATATGAAAGGACTTTATATAAAGCGAATTTAAATCAAATTTAGCAAAATATCCATTACAGCTGACTTTAAAAAAAAATATCCAAGTAATGTTAATACTTCGTGAAGTTATCTTGGGTTGTAATAAAGTTTCTTAATAAACCATCTGCCAGACTCTTAACAGAATGTTTTCTATAGTTGTTCAACTTTCTTCTGCCATTTACCTCTACTAGGTTTGATGTTACCAGCCATTTACCTCTACTAGGCTTGATGTCACCAGCCATTACCTCTACTAGGCTTGATGTCACCAGCCATTACCTCTACTAGGCTTGATGTCACCAGCCATTTACCTCTACTAGGCTTGATGTCACCAGCCATTACCTCTACTAGGCTTGATGTCACCAGCCATTTACCTCCACTAGGCTTGATGTTACCAGCCATTTACCTCTACTAGGCTTGATGTTACCAGCCATTTACCTCTACTAGGCTTGATGTCACCAGCCATTTACCTCTACTAGGCTTGATGTCACCAGCCATTTACCTCTACTAGGCTTGATGTCACCAGCCATTTACCTCTACTAGGCTTGATGTTACCAGCCATTTACCTTTACTAGGCTTGATGTTACCAGCCATTTACCTCTACTAGGCTTGATGTTACCAGCCATTTACCTCTACTAGGCTTAATGTTACCAGCCATTTACCTCTACTAGGCTTGATGTCACCAACCATTTACCTCTACTAGGCTTGATGTTACCAGCCATTTACCTCTACTAGGCTTGATGTCACCAACCATTTACCTCTACTAGGCTTGATGTCACCAGCAATTTACCTCTACTAGGCTTGATGTCACCAGCCATTTACCTCTACTAGGCTTGATGTCACCAGCCATTTACCTCTACTAGGCTTGGTGTCACCAGCCATTTACCTCTACTGGGCTTGATGTCACCAGCCATTTACCTCTACTGGGCTTGATGTTACCAGCCATTTACCTCTACTAGACTTGATGTCACCAGCCATTTACCTCTATTGGGCTTGATGTTTCCAGCCATTTACCTCTACTGGGCTTGATGTTACCAGCCATTTACCTCTACTAGGCTTGATGTCACCAGCCATTTACCTCTACTAGGCTTGATGTCACCAGCCATTTACCTCTACTGGGCTTGATGTTTCCAGCCATTTACCTCTACTAGACTTGATGTCACCAGCCATTTACCTCTACTAGGCTTAATGTCACCAAGCCTTAATGTCACCGGGCCACCTCGGTGGCCCGGTGGCCTGGTGGCTAAAGCTCCCGCTTCACACACGGAGGGCCCGGGTTCGATTCCCGGCGGGTGGAAACATTTCGACACGTTTCCTTACACCTGTTGTCCTGTTCACCTAGCAGCAAATAGGTACCTGGGTGTTAGTCGACTGGTGTGGGTCGCATCCTGGGGGACAAGATTAAGGACCCCAATGGAAATAAGTTAGACAGTCCTCGATGACGCACTGACTTTCTTGGGTTATCCTGGGTGGCTAACCCTCCGGGGTTAAAAATCAGAACGAAATCTTATCTTATCTCTTATGTTACCAGCCATTTACCTCTACTAGACTTGATGTCACCAGCCATTTACCTCTACTGGGCTTGATGTTTCCAGCCATTTACCTCTACTGGGCTTGATGTTACCAGCCATTTACCTCTACTAGGCTTGATGTCACCAGCCATTTACCTCTACTAGGCTTGATGTCACCAGCCATTTACCTCTACTGGGCTTGATGTTTCCAGCCATTTACCTCTACTGGGCTTGATGTTACCAGCCATTTACCTCTTACTAGCTTGATGTCACCAGCCATTTACCTCTACTAGGCTTGATGTCACCAGCCATTTACCTCTACTAGGCTTGATGTCACCAGCCATTTACCTCTACTGGGCTTGATTTCACCAGCCATTTACCTCTACTAGGCTTAATGTCACCAACCATTTACCTCTACTGGGCTTGATGTCACCAGTCATTTACCTCTACTAGGCTTGATGTCACCAGCTATTTACCTCTACTGGGCTTGATGTCACCAGCCATTTACCTCTACTGGGCTTGATGTTACCAGCCATTTACCTCTACTGGACTTGATGTCACCAGCCATTTGCCTCTACTAGGCTTGATGTAACCAGCCATTTACCTCTACTAGGCTTGATGTCACCAGCCATTTACCTCTACTAACCTTGATGTCACCAGCCATTTACCTCTACTAGGCTTGATGTCACCAGCCATTTACCTCTACTGGGCTTGATGTCACCAGCCATTTACCTCTACTGGGTTTGATGTTACCAGCCATTTACCTCTACTAGACTTGATATTACCAGGCATTTACCTCTACTATGCTTGATGTCACCAGCCATTTACCTCTACTGTGCTTGATGTCACCAGCCATTTACCTCTACTAGGCTTGATGTTACCAGCCATTTACCTCTACTAGACTTGATGTCACCAGCCATTTACCTCTACTAGGCTTGATGTTACCAGCCATTTACCTCTACTAGGCTGGATGTCACCAGCCATTTACCTCTACTGGGCTTGATGTTACCAGCCATTTACCTCTACTAGGCTTGATGTCACCAGCCATTTACCTCTACTAGACTTGATGTTACCAGCCATTTACCTCTACTAGGCTTGATGTCACCAGCCATTTACCTCTACTAGGCTTGATGTCACCAGCCATTTACCTCTACTGGGCTTGATGTTACCAGCCATTTACCTCTACTAGGCTTGATGTCACCAGCCATTTACCTCTACTAGGCTTGATGTCACCAGCCATTTACCTCTACTAGGCTTGATGTCACCAGCCATTTACCTCTACTGGGCTTGATGTCACCAGCCATTTACCTCTACTGGGCTTGATGTTACCAGCCATTTACCTCTACTAGACTTGATATTACCAGGCATTTACCTCTACTAGGCTTGATGTCACCAGCCATTTACCTCTACTGTGCTTGATGTCACCAGCCATTTACCTCTACTAGGCTTGATGTTACCAGCCATTTACCTCTACTAGACTTGATGTCACCAGCCATTTACCTCTACTAGGCTTGATGTTACCAGCCATTTACCTCTACTAGGCTTGATGTCACCAGCCATTTACCTCTACTGGGTTTGATGTTACCAGCCATTTACCTCTACTAGGCTTGATGTCACCAGCCATTTACCTCTACTAGACTTGATGTTACCAGCCATTTACCTCTACTAGGCTTGATGTCACCAGCCATTTACCTCTACTAGGCTTGATGTCACCAGCCATTTACCTCTACTGGGCTTGATGTTACCAGCCATTTACCTCTACTAGGCTTGATGTCACCACCCCATTTACCTCTACTAGACTTGATGTTACCAGCCATTTACCTCTACTAGGCTTGATGTCACCAGCCATTTACCTCTACTAGGCTTGATGTCACCAGCCATTTACCTCTACTAGGCTTGATGTCACCAGCCATTTACCTCTACTGGGCTTGATGTCACCAGCCATTTACCTCTACTAGGCTTGATGTTACCAGCCATTTACCTCTACTAGGCTTGATGTCACCAGCCATTTACCTCCACTAGACTTGATGTTACCAGCCATTTACCTCTACTAGGCTTGATGTTACCAGCCATTTACCTCTACTAGGCTTGATGTCACCAGTTATTTACCTCTACTGGGCTTGATGTCACCAGCCATTTACCTCTACTGGGCTTGATGTTACCAGCCATTTACCCCTACTAGACTTGATGTTACCAGCCATTTACCTCTACTAGGCTTGATGTCACCAGCCATTTACCTCTACTAGGCTTGATGTCACCAGCCATTTGCCTCTACTAGGCTTGATATCACCAGCCATTTGCCTGTACTAGGCTTGATGTCACCAGCCATTTGCCTCTACTAGTCTTGATGTCACCAGCCATTTGCCTCTACTAGGCTTGATGTCACCAGCCATTTGCCTCTACTAGGCTTGATGTCACCAGCCATTTGCCTGTACTAGGTTTGATGTCACCAGCTATTTACCCCTACTGGTCTTGATGTCACCAGCCATTTGCGTCTACTAGGCTTGATGTCACCAGCCATTTACCTCTAGTAGGCTTGATGTCAGCAACCATTTACCTCTACTAGGCTTGATGTCACCAGCCATTTACCTCTACTAGGCTTGATGTCAAAGGCCATTTACATCTACTAGATTTGATGTCACCAGCCATTTACCTCTACTAGGCTTGATGTCACCAGCCATTTACTTCTACTAGGCTTGGTGTCACCAGCCATTTACCTCACTAGGCTTGATGTCACCAGCCATTTGCCTCTACTTGGCTTGATGTCACCATCCATTTACCTCTACTAGGCTTGATGTCACCAGCCATTTATCTCTGCTAGGCTTGATGTCACCAGCCGTTTACCTCTACTAGGCTTGATGTCAAAAGCCATTTACCTCTACTAGGCTTGATGTCTCCAGCCATTTACCTCTATTAGGCTTGATGTTACCAGCCATTTACTCCCACACCACAATACTTACATTCGTAAAATAAATTAGCAAAAGAATTAGAGAACTGTATTTAATTCCAGGTTATCGTACAAAATACACTTTGATCAGGGAAGAAAACATACATTTCACTCATGTAAATCGGAATCATATATAAATATTGCCTCCACACATTGAACAGCTGACATTCTCAGAGCTTTGTCGTTCTCAGAATGACCGACACATTTCTATGTCATACATCTTATAAGTGTATGTTAGTCCCCAACCCATCCTCTAAGGTGCTTTAAAAATCCATGTAGCTCTTCTCACAAACAAATTTCTCGGTTAGATTAGGTACTGTTGTCCTCAATCCATAAATAATCGATTATAATATAATCGATTATGATAAACGAGAAACTGGCAGCCACTGAGAGCTTAGGAAAAATTGTGGGAGATTTGGACTGT